GTGACAACAACAACAAAGGAACCCGTAGCAGTAGTATCACTGCCAAATACAGTTACCAATGATTTTGAATCTTATACCTGAAATTAGATTATCTCTTTTCTGGTAAACTGAACGTGCATACTATGTGTGCAATAGGTAGAGTTATGCTTAAATAGCATCCTTGTATGAGCTTTTTAGCAAAAAGACTGAGAAGACTAGGTTTATTTTTAATGCATGACTGTCATCATTTCAAATATATTATGTTTACAGGTTTTTGACATCTTCAATTACTGTAAATATCCAGACTAGTGATGTTGCAAATTTCCTGAAATAGTTTGAGCGCAAAGTCATACTGAGTTATGCACTGTAAAATAATTTAAAATAATCTCAATCGCTGTTTCACTGTTGATTAAGACAGAGTGTGTTTGGATGAATCTACAAATCTAAGGAGTCTCAATGCTACATTTTCTATTTGTATTTTTGATTCTTCGAGGGAGTTTCTGAACCTAATTGTTCGGCTTATTGATGAACAGATGCCTTGATATTGTCATTATTTCTACCTTGAAGTTACTTGAATGATGCTGGGATGCAGTAAAATCGAGAATTTCCATCTTTTCCTATTTAAGACGTCTTGTTCGATCAAATAAGACCGATTAATTTAATCTTTAAATGTCAACGGGGATTCATAATTACATAGAAATTATGTCATATCATCTCCTTTACGTAGGAGGTTATTTGGTACCTCTGTATCCTAGGGAATAATGCCTCTGAGTACGCAGCTGTGTGTACTAGTTTCCGGTGTTAGGGAGCACACTCAGTAGGATTCAGCTAATGAATTCTGAGTGGAAGAGAACTCAAGCTCTGGATTTCAATGCATGCCATCACGAAACGAGGAAATTCAGACTTAAATATCATAACAAACTAGCTGTTAACCTAACTAGAGGTAACCTGTCAGCATCCTTGATCTACCTGAATTTCCACCCAAAATAATGCAAAAAAATTTCCTCACACCTCATTTTTGAGTAGCAAAATGTACTCACCCATATTTTTAATTGGTTATCACCCTTCTTCTGTGTATATCTTGGTGATAAAGGAAAAGTATCATAAGAAGTTGGTTTATGCATCAACTATCAGTTATTATCTTACTTGAAGATCCTGGTTGAAAAGGAAGTAGTATTCAATGAATTACTCAAAGAATAGCATACATTGTGTTTATATTTTGTCCGAAATAAAGCTGTCATTATTATCATTATTCACTTTGGGATTTACATGATGATGAACTACTTTATTTGATGACTGAAAGTCTACTATCAGTTTAATTTTATCAAAACGTATTATTTTAAGGTTAACCTATGCAATCTGGATGATGGCTAAGGGTGTCCATAGTTGTTTTTTGGATAAAATTATGAAAATTATATGATCAGTAAGATCTGAACAATAAATATGGAACGTGACAGAAAGAGTCTATAACTAGGATCAACAATCTTATTCATTGGTTGCTGAGGCAGAAGATTTTAATTTCAATTGTAGATCTATGTTGTTATGTGGATATGAGATAATTTTATTGAATAGTCTTTGACTTCATACGAAATCTTTATCCCGATACAACCAGCCGAATTAGTTTATTTAAACACTGAGCTAACATAACATTGCGTATCGGAAGTGTATATATGTATTAATGATGTATTTTTGTTTTACGAAGCTCTCATCATGCGCCAGCCTTTTCCTTCTGATATTTTCTCGCCTCAGTGAAATAGAAGCTATTTGAGTGTGGGAATAGTTGTTTTCACTATTCACTAGGGTAGCGTGTTGCATTTCGGTATGCTTATACCCACGTATTAACCCACTCGGACACAGCTGACAACACTGATCAACCAGGTTACTTCTGTTTTAATCCTGAGCATTTCTCTGTGCACTTTATTCAGTCTATTTTTCAATGTTTAATTTGTGATGTTGTTATCAGCGGGGAACCACATAGAAAAATTATTTGTTTTTGAAAACCTTATAATGTAGTGTCTGGAGAAATGCAAAGGGATGAAGTTGCAACAGACTGAACTGTTAACTAATATTCTAGTGGAGTCCAACAAGTCGGGTATGAGGACAGATACTCATGTATGACAATGACTGGTGCTTGCTTTATATGTCGCAAATCAGCAGTTGATAGAATTGATGGGTCATTGGATTCCGTCCCACTTGCTTACAGGTCAATTAGTTTGCATTGTAATCTGAAGTTCCTGAATTAGATCCCTGACGGGTATGTATTGATGAATAGTCCAAACAGGGACGAAACAGTTATTCAGTACTCCCTCGTTTTCAGTGGTTCCCTAACTGATATCAACCCGTGATCAAACTTGTAATATGCATCCTACTAACAGTAGAGAACTATATGGGAATGGAACATACTGACGATGAAGGAACATGACTTGCCACGTCTTTTAACATAAAAAGTTTGATAATCGATGGTAAATAAAATTCACATATAATAAAATGTTTCACGGCAGATGAACTAACTTATATATCATGTGACAATCGAATGAATAGTTAGTGGTCATATAAAAATGATAAGAAATATACTGATTACCAGAGTAGAATAGATCCAAGCATTCTAATAAAGTTTTGTGGTGAAATTAAAGAATCGTCCACTTAAAAATGCAATCAACTAAATCTCGTTCCACTGTAGATTTATGGGCGGTACCTTAATCTTGCATAAGAATAAAATCAATACTGAGTTCTCCTCAAAACGTTCACTATGGCTCATCCACAAACTCAGTTCCCACATGGAGGAGAGAAAGACATTACTTTATCATTTCTTAATGTCCTGCTAACAAGAAGACCAGATGGCAGTTTTAAACGAAGTATTTTCCTGGAGAAGTCATAGGTTGACCAATACAACTACTTCAGATGGTGTTTTCCTTCTGCATGCAAACGAAATCTCATCAGTACTCTGATATTTCATGCTACAAATATCTGTATAGGTGCCCCTTCGGACGACGAAATAAGAAAAATTGGAAACTCATTTTATGAGAACAGATATCCAGAAAAATTTTTAGTTTCCATATAAGAACAGATGAAGAAAAATGCCCACAAACAATACACAAGAAACGTATATAAATATGACTTTGTCGTCCAAAGGAGATGTAGTTACTGAATTACTGAATTGGCCGTACTCAGAGGGCTTTATCCATGCGCGCACGTGAACATGTACCTGTATGGTTGAGTAAAGGAGTAACCAAGTGTGTAAATAGTGCAGTCTTAGCCCACCTGGTAGATACTGGACACCAGATAAAACTTGACCAGGCGTTCTCAGTTATTTACCGTGTTCCTAGTAATTTATCTAGAGGAGCTCGACTGCGTCTCCTATCAGTAGCTGAAGCGGTGGCAATTAATACCAGAAGACCATCTCTTTGCATACAGAAGAAGTATGTTCAACCATTATGTTTACCTTGGCCTACAATAAAGCCAACAAATCCTCCATTAACACTATAAATTCCTTTCACAATTTTCTTTTCTTCTTCTTCTATTCCTCTGTTTCATTGACAATCGTTTATTTTTCGACTTTTATGATTTCATGACCTTTCTTATGATTTTATTACCCTGCTATCGTATTTACAAAATCCTATTCATTCCACTTCATTATATTCATTATTATTATTTGACAATCACTCACCAATAGTGCATGTAATTTTACACCATATCATCGTTATTATTTTACAATCATTCTTACTGTCGTTATTTTCAACCTTGAACTTATGTCTAGTCCGCCCCATTCGTTGGTCTATTTTCATATTGTCTCACACACCCTGATTACACACACTCTCGAAACCTGTATTTCTGTTGACTATATTTATATATATACACAAATCATTAAATTAAATTACTTCATCTGATTTTGTCCCATGTTCTCACTGACCATGCATATTAAAAAACTATATGACTATTGTTCCATCCCATCTTATATTTGTTCCACAATACACTTTCTGATATGATTCTAATCTGCCTTTACTGGCTACTGTATGCTTAAATTAATGGATTTATAAATGTAGAGCCTGAAGAAGAATTTATTGAAAACAATTGTTAGCTCTAAATATTTTGTTCTGAATTACTAGCATCAAAACTCTGACAAATAATGGCTAAAATATTCTTTACGGCAACACTTCAAAATTCACTACTTGTTGCATAATTCCAATGCAGGTGAAACATAAGCTACTGAGTTTGGCCATTTCAATGTGTGTTTAAAAATTTAACCGCTCTTTTGGAAACAGTTACGTAGATAGAACCAAAATGAAAGCCCGCCGTCGCTTTGTTAAGAAAAAGAATCGTGAAGTCAGTCAAGAGTTCTATGTTGGCACAACTAGTGCATACGGAGCACAAGATTGATAAATATCCAGCTTTTACAATTCTATACAAGATGCCTCCTCAGTTCTCTAGATTTTCACGTCTTCGATTGCTAAGTAAAGCTGAGACAGTTTCCATAATAAGTTTTCAATCCAATTTATGTGTTCAGAAAAAGTCTGTTTAATCCCTTCCCCTGCCCTCCCGACGGCCTTCACCCGCAATCTAGAATAATTATATTTTCCGGTGACACTAGTTGACTGCAAATATTATCTTCATTTTTACTGTTAACTTTATTATCAATAAATTACCGTGCTATAATTGCATATTTTAATCATAGTTTCACATTTCTGAGTGTTCTTTTGACACTGATTATACTAACAACAAAAGCTTGTGCAAAAGAAATCAACTTTATGAAATACATTAAATTAAGACACCAGTATTCACATAATTAATAGGTTACAAAAAGAAAAACAGGTATAGCTCACGTGGTCAAGTTTAAAATCTGTTTTCTACTTACTGAATATATGTATGTGTTTATTTTTTTTCTTCAGATCGATGGTCCTCATAGTAATCCATTGATTTGTTCTTTTTGTTGTTGTTTAAACCAATCCCGATTGAAAGCACACGACTGTAAATCCATTTTAATTGGTTCAGAGGTGATCTCGAAATCTCAAGGCTAAAACATTGTTATTGTGAGAAGTTAAAATGTCATTCTCTCCTGCAAAAATAAACTCATTAAGTTTACATACATTAGTTGTAAAGAAAAAAATTCCATTAATTTTTTTAAATGGCCGACAAAAGGTCGCAGGCTTCGTCTCCTCAGGCTGTATCGTATCTAGATGGATCCCATGCACCATATCCAAATGACCCTCCGGTACCATACCCTGTAGGCGTACCTCATCTGCCTTATTCAACAAATGACGGACAACAGTGGCAAGGTAAGATGAGTATACTATACAGATGCTGTCCTCTACTAATATTACTGCTATGATTATTACATAAGTACAGGAAAGTATATACATCACATTTTATGTCAACACGTTAGGTTTACACTACCGTAACTAGTTTTATTCCCTTTTAAACAAACGAAGTGTTTTGGGGCTTACCAGTAGTTTAACAGTAATTGACTGTGTCTATCAGTTACACGTTTGTCGGAACTGAAATATGAGTTGGACATTCCTTATGGGAATCTATGTACTACTAGTCAGATTCACTATAGAGGCACTCAATTTTATATCCCGGATACTAATTATACATATATATATATATAAACAGGTTCCTTTTTATTTAAGTCTCTGTAGCTGGTGCGCATGTGGATTCTTGTTTTCATTCTGAAGCATTTAGCATGTCACCTATTTTTCAATGTTTGTCATTTGAAATATTTTCTTATTATTACTTGTTATAAGCTACCTGTCTGTCGGTTAAGTAAATGAGGATAACTTCTGGAACTCTTCTTAGGATGAGTAAAGTGATATTATACCTCGAATATTTTTATTTCTCTTAACGGCTTTCAGCGTATTTGAACGAATTGCTTGGCAAGGCTTAAAGTTAGGTATTTTACAGGTATTCATTATCTGTATCACTAAACAACATGAATACCTATAGATCGCGTATGCTGATTGGATGGTTGTTGTCGGTACACTCAGTGACTGTTTTTTATTTGACACCCGGCTAATTAGCTGTGTACTTTAACTTGTGAACCTTGTTCAAAGTGGAATTTATGAGAACAGTGGGGAAAACATCACTACATAGTCACAAAAAGTCCTGTTGGGATGGCTGCTGAACTTGGTATGTAGATTGTAGTTATTTACTGGCCATCTGAGATTACTTTCTGTTTGCACCAGAAGCTATTCGAGGTAGTTCCACTAGGAACTTGGTAACGGTTGACTTAGGTTTGGGTTGTAAATAGACTGTGAGTTTCCTTAATGTTGCCGATGTCTTCAAGTTCAGGTAGCAGTAAGAAAGAAGCCATTCTGTTGTCTGACTACTTATAAAATCTGCTGTATCTGATTTATGTGATTTCTGTAGACAATGCTGATTTGTGATTTAACATTTAGGCAGTCAAACCACCACAGCCTCAGTCACTTATCATTTGGTTAGTCCTGGAATTATATAAGGTTGCAGAGAAATATAATTTAGTAGAATTAGGTTAACTAGTAGGTGCAGAGAACCATAAGACAAAGTTATGAAAACGTGTTATCCTATTAAGCCATGTAGAGACAGTCATATAGACACGATACAGTGTTGGTACAGTGGATACTGAAAAATAATAATTCATGAATATTAGGAAAAAACGAAAAAAACAATTAGGTCTCGGTCATTTTATAGTTATAATCCTTAGACTGTGGGAAAAAAACACTACTCACAGTGCTGTTTTCTCAAGTACTTATGCATAGTCCATATTTTATAGCACTGATTGCAATGAATTCAATAGTTTGTAAGCTGTCAAATTGCATTCCCTGTGTCAGGCGTTTTGATGTTTCATAAATAAGTGAAAATTCACAATCGAAAATGTGAAGTACTGTCAGTATCTATAAAGTAAGAGTGAATAACACCCAAAAGTCTCCCTGATCCTTTCTTTTTTGAGTAACATCGCGAGATGTGATAAAGTTGTCAATAATAATTCCGAGACGACTGGTTCCATAAGAATAGATTAATCTGGCGGAGACATTCACATCAATTTTAGAAACACCCTATCCTCTAAGCCCGACTGTAAAGTTAAAAATGTTGTATAAGTTAATCTTAATGTATCTACAAAAATTATCTTATGCGGAGAGTGTTGAAGTTCTTCTGTGAAAGCGTTAAAGAGACCACATATTAAATTGACAAGAGTGTCTTCTCACTAAATGAATATAGCCGGCTTATGTTGATATAAGAATAAAACTTGGGCACTGTGGTAGAATGTAATTCCATTATGGGTAAATTTTTATTTTTGACAGAGTCTCACAGTGTTATACAGTAATATTTACTGATGACGTTTCGAGCACGTCATCAGTAAATATTACTGTATAACACTGTGAGACTCTGTCAAAAATAAAAATTTACCCATAATGGAGCCGGCTTATGTGTTCATTTTGACGTATGGTTACTGCTGAAATAGACTGGATACCAACTATGTTTGGATATGATTATCAGATTTTGTAATTCTTTATCCCCTGTAGTACTTGGACATATTTTTCTAGTCTTTCAAAGTAAGCATGGTGAAACAATATTGTACGCGTTTGTTTGCTTTATGTTTCACAACTGTTTATGGTGAACACTGAACATAATTTTTTCCAAAATATTCATATCAAAAACTATGTAGTTGTGTAAACAGACTGCTTACATAACAACAAGTACAAATATGCCAGTTCCTTTCATCTTTAGAGTACAGTCTAAATTCCATTTCAGTCCTTAGAATTATTTCCACTATTATTCATCTCTATAATGTTTATTTTGCTTTATTCAACACAGTTTGGGTGTGTTTCTTCTCAAGAAATGCACAGATTTCTTGAAATCGCATTCTTTTTCTAAGCGTATCTTTTACCGTATTAAATAACACTATTCACAGAGTTAACATAATAAACCAGTAAAACTCCCTGACAGTTTTAACTTCGTTTCCCCTTTCAAATTCTAAAGGATTAAGCTAAAACCTTTCTGATCAGATTAACGCACCAACTAAGCTTTATTTTCGTTTGATTGTTCCGCATTATAAAATAAATGATCGAATTATGTATTATGTACTTATTGTCATGAGCTGTAAATCCATAAGGTAAAGAATGTTGCAGAAAAATCAAAGTCATGTGTGTTTTGATTGATATGAAATTAAGAATATAGAGAGAAGTTCCGTGAAGTACCTGTCTATGTCTATGCGCTTTATCATCCTATAAATTAACAAATCTCCATGAATACACAAAAGATGTACATAATTTGTCACTGATGGTAAGTGAACAGAAATAACAAATAACAGTATGGATCTGTGATCTAATTCTTGATAAATCTTGATTTTCAACGGACTTTAATAGTCAAACGCTTGTTGAAAATGCCTCAGGCATCATAATTAAAGACCTGTTTATTTCAAGACATAATAAGTCTGTACTAGGGATCTATAACGAATTCTTAGTTGTTTGAAAAAAATATCTTTGAAAACTGATTTTTGTAGTTGTTGTGATGGCTGATAATTGAGTGTGAAGTGAAAATTTCCTTTACAGAAGGATTTGAAACAGCCGCTTTCAGATAATTTACTCAAACTATTAATTCAAGTTGTACAACAAGTGAAGTTTTAATTTCACTTTCGAATACTGAATAAATGTTATTTGACTGAATGCCTTAATTATCAACTTAGAACTTTATACGGAAATGCATCAGCTGAAGTTTTTTAATTTAAAAGACATTAAGTGAAGCAGAAAAACAGAACCCTAATGATACGACTTTCTACAGAAACCGGTATCTATAAGAGAATATATAATGAAGTAGGTTCAAACAGGAAAGCATTGTACAGTATATTAAGTGAAGAACAGTTTATATACATGCGTCGGTAGCACAGCGGTAGAATGCTCGCCAACTACGCTTGTGGTTCGCGGTTTGATACCTGGACGACGCACTAATTTACCTCGCTAAGCCAGTAGTAAGAGTGCTAGAGAGGAAAGGTTGGGTATGAGGTTAGCAACCCTATCCTGTAAAAATAAGCACCACTGCTACCGAGACTTCGAAGCTGTAGCTTAGATCCCTATGTTCCGCTGGGAATGTAAAGGAATTTAAAAAAAAGATACTTTCTGTGTGACACACGGAATAACTAAGTGAAATTAGATGGTGTTCAAAATTAGTAGAATGATGAGAAGTGAATACATCTGAGCTCCATTGGACAACTTCAAGGGATGCCGATAAGATTCTTAAATTATTAACTTTTGGCTTCCTAAATACTTTCAGTCAAGCAATCTACAGCTTTCTAGGTATCTCCGACTACCAATTAAAAACATCATCGACTGATGTTTTGGTCCTATCGCTTCTACCTCTTCTCCAAACTAATTATGGTATAATTTTTCCGTGCACATGGCTCACTGCTCCACAAGACACATATAATTTTTTTGGTAATCAGACGTGAGTAATGGAAATAGATAATACACATTTGGGGATGTCAGACGAACCTTTGTATTTGTGCTGAAATTTCACCAGTGATGAGTTTACTGGGGGTTGCTACAACTCCACAAACAAGTCAAGTTTTATGTTACCAGCCTGATTTCTATAAAATCCAAACCATAAATATGTTTCAGTGTACGTAATAACGTAATAACGTAATAACAGCTCTCTCTCTCTTCCTACTTATAACGATACCATAACATCAGAGTGACTTATTAGTCAAAAGAATTCCATAGATATGCACGGCAAGTCCATTCTGAACTTGAATTTCATAACTGGTTATGTATGTGACATTTTATATTTCTGTAATCAATTTGTACATGAATCCAGTTAACATTCACTTAGTACTACTTTATTGATAATAGAACACATAAATCGCAGCTGGAGTTTGGGTTGCAGCTCTTATTTCATCTCCTAATGACTGTAAAAGTAAATCTAATGAAAAAATATATGATCAGATATAACTTTTATGAATTAGTTCACACTTTGATGATTACTGCTATTACTGACAGTTTATGAGTTTTGTTTAAAACCAACACAGAAAATTTTTAATGTTTGTAAGCCAGTGGTTCGTTTCATCACCTCGTCGTTGCTAGGATGAAGTATATAGTTGCACTGAAAACACTAAAAATGGTGGGAAAAATTCCCACTCAGTATAATAAATACTAATGAAAAAGATCTGAAGACTTGACCCTGATTGTTTTGTAGGCCTGTAAACATTTCACAGATTTGGTGTCAGTGTGCACTCCATCGTTCACCGGGACAAATTTGTCAGTCTATAAAAATAGTCCATGCAAATAAAATGTCACATATCAGGTCACCGAGAGGGGCAATATCAACACAAATGAATACAATCATATGGAAATCTACTAGAAGAACCAATCAAGGTGAAGATCACCATGTCAGACCAATGTTTCATCCACGAAGGATTCACAATGCTCACTTCGCATTGAAGTTAACACATCAGATGCTGACCAGAAAAGAAATGAAAACTCCAGAGAACGTAACAACACCAAGAACATCCAGCTAAGCTTCAAATCTTCTGCACTACTTCAAAATCTTACGACCGACTAAGGCTTCCTTCTGTTAAAAATCTTAAAAGACCTTACCTAGTTTTTATCATTTCCTCTTTTTCCTGTTCTGTGGAGAAAGACAGAAAAGTTATTGAACAGCAAACTTTTTCCGTATTATTTTAATTATTATATTTGACTGACTGATTCGAACTCACTTAGTTGACTTCAAATCGCCTTCAGTATCACATAATTTTTTCCTGTATGTTGGCGGCCAGTCAGCATTTCTGTTGTTAAGCCGACTGGGAAAGCTTCTCAAATTTACTTCTAAGTAGAATAAAAAGTGTATTTTCTAATTTTATTAGTCCTGTGTATATTTTAGGCTGTCTTTTGCTGAAGAGAGGCCCAAAGAATAGAAGACGTGTACATTTCATACTGCAATGTTGTTTATCCTTTCACGATGTTTTCATCTGAAACGGAATAGGCCACTGATATAAGATAAATAGGTTGAGGTGATCACAAGAGTTTATTAGTCTGTGAAATTTCCAAAGACTCAGATATTCTCATACATCTGGAGGTAGAGGTTTAGATTAGAGTGTTTTTATTTTTGATGCTGCGGAGGACTTATGAATAACATCGGTAAAGAGTTGATAGCGATGCAGTTCAGAACTGTATTTGATATAACTGTATAAGTAATACCTTTAAAACTACATATGGATAATATAACTTCAAGCAACTAAGCATTATTACCTTAGATTTCAATACATAAACTATCTAATGACGTTCATAGGATAATTTAGAATCATATTAACTTTCCTGCCAGTAGATATTCTGCATCAGAAGCAATTAATATTGAAACTTCATGAAACATGATGACTTGGCGTAACCGTGATGATTTCAATGAAATGATGATGTGCTTTGCAAATTGGTCTCTTAGCTCAAGTCACAGGATCATAGGTTGGATACCATCCACGGTCCAGATTTTTATTTAAACTATGGAGTCAAAAGCAGTAATTTAAATTTAAATAGTATGGGTTCGGTTGGCTTCATCTTCAAATATCTGTGCATTTGAGAAAAATAGAATGCATATGAAGCGAATGACGATGATAATCGATTTTCAAAAAGCTTATCATACGGTGTCTGTCACTAGATTCCCTGTGTCTCTATGCAGCGCTTTGTGTTTTGTATTGTTAAAATAGTGAAAAGTGGAAAATTAGGAGGCTACTTTTTGGGGAATGAATAAGGTTTCCACGATCACTTCAAACTATTCAGCTTTTTATCCACCGGTGATAAAACATTGTAACTTAGTTGTTGCCCCAAGGAAAACAAACTAATAAACACAAAATACCACATTTATGATTAGTTGGGTGTTCATCTCATTCTAAAAATTCAAAAAAAATTGAGAGATAACTAGGAAAATCTGATTTTCAAATTAAAACACTGATTCAAAAATTAGTGGGAAATAATTTTTGAAGTGATTACAGTCCTCTTAGAATTAATGATCTATGTAGTCATCAGGACATTGGACTTTGGAACAGTAACGAACTTTCTTTATAATTTTCAAGTGCTCGAAATGTAGCTATTCGACTGTGTTCCAGGTAAGTTTCATCTCTGATTGACATCATTTAGAGAACCATTAAAAACCAGGATACAAACGACCGCATACTTATTCTTTGATAGTTAATTGTTGAAATGTGTTGACAGACTGATTACTCGTCTTCTCCGAATGAATTAATCACCTAGTTTTTGTTTTAAATCACTTAAAACTCCAAATCCCATTTTTCAACGACTTCATTTTAAATGAAATTTACAAAAAGTAACGGTATAGTGTAGATTATTATTATTTGTGTAAATTAACTGTCATAATGTTATTTCACCGTTGATCGATTTACTATGGGGAAGTAATTGAAAACTTTGTGCTACAAGTCGAAAGAGGCAAAAAAGGCAGTGTGATAATTACAACAAATTTCTTTGATGTGGTTACTGCAATATTAGAAATAGCGATATAATTTTCTAAAACTAATAGAACAAATAAAATGAGCAAAGATTACCTATCAGAGATGGAACAGTGGAGTGTTTTTTCGTCTAATTTTTTTCTATTTGCAGCTGGAGCGGTACAGTATCCATATGCGAACTATAACACCAATCCTCATCACAACAACTCCGATGATATCGGTGGTGGGACAGGAGGAGGAGGAGAAAGATACATGGAAGATCAGTTTATTTCATCTAAATTTAGCGACAAAAATATCCGTCGTGCATTTATTCGTAAGGTGAGTTAATTTTATTGTTTTCATTCCTACACTCTTTAAAGTATCGAAAACATTAATATCGTTTGAAAATAAATTATTCTATGACATTTAGTGGATAGGTCATTTTTAAATCTTATCGGCGTCTCACCTACTTTTCCTTAATAATATCCATTCATATGGCTAAAGAGGAAACTCATAACTCCATAAGAAAGGTGTAAAATTAATGTTATTTAGCGATTGTGTTTGGTCGGTTACGCATTCGCACCATCAGATGAGTTATCAGTTTCATATTCATGGTGTTTTAAATGATAAGTCCATATGTATAAATGGATTAATAAATATTCGTCGACTACCATGAAACAGATAGGAATATCTAGAAAGCTGTTCAGGTCAAAGCATTTATGTTCGAGGACTTCTGAGTGTAATTCAGTTGAAATTGGAGGAAATAAATAGAAACAGGTAAGTGTGATGAAATTATGTATTGGAGTCTAACAAAGAGATTATATGGGATTGAATGAGTTACCTGCTCATTGGTTGTTAATGTTGTACCACAGTAGCTGATACCGATGAAGACAAAAATGATTCATTTAGGCACTTTAATTTGTTACTTGTGTTTATCGTAGCCAAATCCATGCAAGCCGCACTCTTGATTGCTGGTATTCGTCTACAGACATTATTTTTAAATGAGGAAAGGAATAATATTCACTCTTTGGTAGATATCAGTGTTCTTTACTGATTCAGTCAAAGATATTTATGCCTGTTGAAGTTATGCAGAACTATTACTTGGATTGTCAGTTTAATTAACATTTCGAAGGCAGGAACCCCTGGGCCTAATTCTCCTGCTTACTGTCACTCATCAGTAAGGCCTACATACAACCTCGGAGACAATGTCTTCTTTGAGGTATTTAATATTTTCTGAGTGTGCATTGTGAATCAAAGTCTCGTAGCTTGATAACCACTTCACAAACTTGGCTGGTAAAATTTTGGTAGGCAGTAACATTAAAGACTGGACAGATAACACTTGTGATTGCCAAATGAACAGTCAATTTTTCGAGTATTTATGATATCCCTATAGAAAACGAACAATCCACTGTTGATTCAACAAGTTTTTGGCAATGAATATTCAGCCAAATAAAATCTGTTGGTCAATATCACTGATCAGATTAGTGACTTATTAGGATTAAAGAAACATTGGAGTTGTTGCTGATTTTCTTCGAGAGAACTGAAACTGTACCTTGTACATCAGTCATCGGGATATTCGTGAAGGCAGAACCACAGAAGTCTTGTATTCCCATATCCATCGCTGTATTTTTCACAGTTATACCACAGTGAAACAAGATAAAACAGTCGAAACACAACAAGCAAGTTAAATGTAGCATAAGTCTAGCTGTAATGTTCCAAAAAGGCTGGGAATCTAATCATTTCTCATTAATAATAATACTTCCACTGCACAAACACCCATGAAATCTGATATAAGTTATTATTAATTTTATTTTCTAAAATGCGAAATTTGATGGGTTTATTCGTTTGATGTATACAGAAATATTTGAATATTTGTGATAGTTTTATTTTAAACCTAGCTTTGAACGTTAGTATGAGCTCCATCTCTAAGGTGTATATCATTGGATTCGAATATCAAGTAACTCAGCACATTCATGGTTAAAGTCCACCCGTTTAAATTTGTTAAAATTTTCTTTTCTGCTTCAAATCTAGGTATACGTTACACTTAGCATCCAGTTGTCGTTCACACTTGCTATTGTCTGCATTTTCGTACTTGTGTAAGTATGCATATTGTATTCGCAGTAATCGATCTTCTATAGCCAACCTGTAAGGAACTGGGTCCGTAGAAATGCCTGGTTCTACTATTTAGCCTAGTAAGTTTATAAGTATGTGTTTTATGTGTGAAATATTTACCTGAAGATTAGTATGCGAAAATTTTTTATCAATACAAAACTATATGCGGAAATTTTAAAAATGACAGTTATGTTAGACAACAACTTTTATGGAATTGTGACATCACCTGTAGTAGAAGCCCCGAAAGCTAGAGATCACTCGGCTTTGTCACACTTTGAAAAAACACAATCCAGAGTGAAAAGCATTAGACTGATCATAATGCAGTGTGATTTAAAATGATATAAACTACTAATTGATGGAATAAATGGAGCGTCAACCTTTGGAATATAACATATTAGTCCCATTATAAACTGCTTTCCGTGCAATTCCATTGGCAGATCTTTAGTGACCAGAAAATAGCAGTATTTTCTGTTAAACAGTAATATCAGACAGTACAGCTAATATCACTTGCTACTACAAAGTTTCAGTGACCTATAGATAGATAGTATTTCCGCTGCTTTTTGCATAAACTTTGTGCGATATACCTAAACATTTTTTTCTTCTTCTGCATTTCTTTTCTATGCAGTGCAATATTCTTCGTCACATATCTGGTGCTTGGTTGTATTGTAAGTGTACGCAGAAAATTCCCCGGAAATTACATATGCTTATCTGTATTTGTAAGTTCTGTCAATTGGTACACCTAATGTTGTTTCATTTCGTTTCTTTTTTCTCTTTTAACTTGAGAAATGTGAAACGTAAGCTCATGGTTTGTTCTGAGATGTTGATCGGGAGAAATGAGATATCACATCCTGTAGAAACTTGATACGGTGAATGAATCAAAAGCTGATGGTTATTTGACTACTAATATCTATTTGACATCCAAAAGTTTCGGTTTACAGAGATTTGATTGGTTTTAGGTCAAATCACTGATGAACATCAGTTAGAGAAAACTACTGAAAACCAGGGCGTGCTGAGCGATTGTTTTGTCCTCGTTTGAGGCAGGATCAAATGGTCCGTGAATTCTAACTGCTGTCAATTCGCGGTTTATAGAGTCACCGTCAACCAGCGTCATTGGCGAATATTTGACTTCACAACTGATCTAGTGGATCCCCCTAAGATGAAAAAGCTGTTCAATTCTCTCTGGTTTTCAATGGTTCTCAACCTGGTGTTAATTCGTTGTATCACTCGGTAACTTTTTTTCACAAGACATTTCTTAATTAAATAACTAATCGCTCAATTTGATCAAATGAGAAATGTCACGCTAGATAATATAAAACTCTATTCTAGATTGATATATTCCTGGATATTGAGAATCTGGGATACAGATGCCTGACTTGAATGAAGTAAGAAGAAATTAATACACCATGCATACCTATGGTGCGGGAGAAAACCAATCCCCGAGTGATTGAGATGTCGTCTAAATTTAGTCGTCATCACGACACGTGAAAACTCCGTTTGCCAAATTGAGACCATAAAATATTGAGTAATGAATAAATAAATACTACTCAGTAGACAGTGTTTATCGGTGGTTCAAGAATAGAATGCCCTCAGTAATGCAAAATCAAAATATCTAGTTTCGATTCCTGACCGACGCACTCCTAAACCTTGCCTAATTTACCAGCCAGAAGTAAGCCCAGAAAAGAGGGAAGGTTGATCTTAAGGTTAACAAACTGGTCGAAAACACAACATCACTGCCACTGAAACTTCAAACCTTAAAGCTCTCTATACTGCCAGGGATGCAAAGAATGAATAAACTCAACAGAAATTAGATAATGAGACTTATCTGTTATGTGAGATTCATTGCAGGTATCTGAGTCTTCAGATCTATGTCACTGAAAGTGAGTTTAAATCTTAAAACGACTGACTGAATATTTAGACAGATCAACCTAAGCTGCAAAACTAAGGTTAGCCTAGATAGCATTCTTAGTAAGATATATAAACGTCATAATTCAAAAAAATATAAGTTTCGTGGTGTTGCAGAAAGACCCAAATGAAGTCGACAGTCGAATCCCTTTGATTAATAAATTTTCTTCAGTCCTACTGAGAAGTCTATTTCTACCAGAAGAATATTTAATATTTTAATATTTTTGATTACAGCTTGATGCCACACCGTATTTTCAGCACAAGTATAGCATTTTCAGCATGGATATCGGTAGCCCAAATTTTGCAGGCCGACCATAGATATCGGGTGTGTGTCGGCAGGGGATCGAACCCCGAACCATGTGCATGGTCGGCGAGAGTCCTAACCACTGTGCCACCGACGCACGATAGAATTCACAAAATTGTTTTCAATATTTTGATTCCTGACGATGCCAATAGCTTTATCCGCATTGACAGATTATTACCGCCGAAGTTATTTGTTAGTTTGCTTACTAAAAAAACATCTAAATTTTTAAAAAGTGATGGAAGAATATAGACAATTTTTGTTCAACTTTAGTAATTTTCTTTGTTTGTTTGGTTGTTTTGTCTTTATATTATCGATCTGTATGTAAACTATATGCAAACAACTTGATTCTACGACATAAAGTTTTTACTAATGTTTCAAACTGTTTAGCCCCACAGTAATTCAACTGAAATACACAGGAGCATAAACACTGTTCAAATCCATATTTGGCATGGACTGAATTGTTCTTTTTTACTTAATAAGCCTTTTTATGTCGCTTTCATTACCAATGAATCATCATTTGAATACATAAGTGTCCATCCTTATGTTAAGCAACAAATATTTCTCACCATTCTTAGTTTGTGATTAAGTCTCATCTGAAAATTAGTTACTTCGGGTTTGATGAAGTTTAAGTAACTTTATTTGCATCTTGATTGATTTCTGAAACAATTGTGTGAAAACGTGTGGGCAGACTTGGAGCCAGGTGAAGACTCTAGCAGAGAACCGAACGCAATGGAGACGCACGGCTGAAGCCCTACGTTCCTCTGGGAATTAAAGGAAACAATAATAATAATAATATACCATTTGCAATTAAAAGTGTTCTCTGAGCTGGTTGGTTTAGTCGCGAAGCTTTCGTCGTCCTTCCGGACAACATCTTCAGCGCCATATTTAGCCCAAAGTGAAATGATTTAAATTTCTTCATGTGTGATGTAAATATGGCACTGAAGATGTTGCCCGGAAGGACGATGAAAGCTTCGCGACTAAACCAACCAGCTCAGAGAACACTTTTAATTGCAAATCATCCACCTGAGCTACAAATCTTCTCTATTATTTCAATAATATACCATCTCCTGATAGTTTTAAAGAGAATTCTATTCTATTCTGTGTTATTATTTGTTCATTTGTTGCATTCAGAGTGAGACATATGCATCTTCATTGCATTTAGTTCTGTTTGATCAGTTTCAAATGACCGAGTAAATGCCCACAAACTTTTACTTCCTCTTCTTCTTCTTTACATGTTCTCTTCTCCATATCACGTTTTGTTCTATTGATCCATATCCAATATCTTTCAATTTGTATTTATATTTTCTCCTTTTCATTCTATTTTAATAACCCATAGACATTCGCATTATCATATATGGCTGGTGCGATTGGTGCATTCTATGGCGCTGAAGCAGCTTTAATCGCTGTAGTGCTTACATTTGCTCTATGCATCTGCATAACATTATTCGCAATGCAAACACGTATTGATTTTACAATGTGCTCTGGCATGTTATTTGTATTTGGATGCGTCGTCATGCTAACTGGAATTGTGTGCATGATTGTATTTTTTGCCGCTGGACCAAATAAGGTAATCACTTCAATATTTCTTTAGGAATATACAAGTTTTTTTGAAATTATATGTTTAAATTAGGTGCTGAGTGAGCTGTTGAACATGGTTGTATTGCTCAGTATTAATATTTTGCTGTTAAAAATATTAAATTAAATTTAGGCATTTTCCACTTAATTGAATTTTAGATTTTTCCCGTCGATTGATTGGACCGAAGTGCTCAGTCTCAGGTTGACATGTCGGCTTCCTATGCAGATGCTTCGACGATGTCTGGGCAATTAATTAGTATTTAATTGGTGGATGGTGACTAGCAGTGGAATCCAGGATGCGCATTTCGTCCTATTTGGGACTCGTCACTGGATGTACCTGCATTTCTCAGTGAGTGATGATGTTCCCACCGAGGCTCGAACCCAGTGCCCATAGTTTCCAACGCCAAAGCGTTATCCACTTGACCAATGTGGTCTAGGATGGAGTTTCCTGGAGTTCTAGTGAGAAGTCGTGACCAGTGGGGTCTATCTAGTCACGTGTGAGGATGGAGGTTTCACCGACGACATTGCTTAGGGTGTCGCTAAATCACGAATTAATAGAAGTTAGAATTCATTAACCATTGAATCGGGTCACAGTGTTTGAATGGTATACGAGCTTGCCTTGTAACCGAAAGGTCCTGGGTTCGAACCCTGGTGGTGGGTGCATACTGCCGATGATTCCCAAACTAGGATGAAACAGCAGCTGTCCAGTACTCTCTGGTTTTCAATGGTTCTCTAACTGATATCAGTCCCTGATCAACTCGTAAAAAATGAATAAGAATTATGTTTACAAAATACTCATGTCTAATCACATTTATATAACTGTGTTCAACAAAATGTTTTGTTTGGACAAGCACATGTTATTCACCGATAGGTAACCCTTTTCTCTTAATAAAAACTGAAGTTGACATTAAAGAATATTAGTTTTGCTTGAAACACCTTAAAAATAAGCATGTTCATGCATGCTATGATGATGAAAATTTTTAGTGATTTCTATTAAGTGAAAGGCAGCAATTACTAATAACATTAATCGCTTTATTATAAACAATAATAACTATACAGAATGTAATTTTCAGCGTAGATGCACATCAGCTGCTTGATAAATATCCCGATTGGCCCATATCATCTAATAACCTAAACGGTGGGTTTGTTCTACTTTTAGACTCATCAGTAGTATTCGTTGAACTTCGAATGTGAATCGTAGTAAAGAATGTCCAGATAATGTAGCAAGTACTTTCAGAATAGGACTGAAAATTTGTCCTGTGCTCTTCAGTATTCACTTGGTTTATTGACTGATTTTGACTTACCATAGTGATTGTTTGTAAATACTCTTATTATTGGCATTTCTTTAATGTGAACTCACTTTTCATTTTAGGTTTTGCAAGGGGTGTATGGCGGTTTAGTTACACTACTGTTCGGACTAGTGAGTTGCTTTTTAAAATCATCAGATGCTTATGTTGACATTTATTAGTTTTGTAAACATGTTGTGTCGAACTTCAGCTTACCCACAGTGATGAATAACTTCTTCCTCTAAAACTTAAGCTAGCTTTAATAATTCCTATAGTTTAGAGGTTAATTCGTCTTCTTTGTCATAATAAGAATCAGCTTAATGGTCTTATATTTTAGCTGTGACTAATTAATCTAACTTCATACAGCATAGTGATTGATGTCAGCTGTCAATAAAAGTAAGTTTCCAAGTGTTGGTTTGTAGGGGTTTGATTGGTTACAGGAATTCATCATGAGCTGACATTAATAAGAGAACCATTAGAGAACCTGAGAGTACTGGACAGCTGTTTCTTCCAAGTTTGGGACTCAAACTATTTGGAACTTTATACAATAAGTTCCCTTGTCGAATCTGAACAACGCAACAAGAATAAGTATGCCTTACTCAAGGCATGTAGATGTGTGTTTGTGATGATACTCATCATACAAAAATACTGATACAGAAGTTCGAAAGTTCCTATTCAAACAACAAGTTCTCAGTGGAACAGGAGGTAAATAATCAACTACACTCACGTGACTTATGCATGAAGAGAAGAGAAAACCAAACAGCAGAAAGCAGCATTTACCAAAAAACAACCTGGAGCAGCTAAGACCTAAATTTCAACGACTTCTATTCTTTGAGCTACAAGAGAGGTTAGAACACCAGACGAGAGAGAACAGAAAGGCTTTGCTGCAAAGAAACAGTAGAAATAGAAATCTATCTCATCAATGGATTCTTAAGGAACAATAAATATCCTGAACGATTCTTAAAGAAGTACAGTAAACGCAACGTGTGGGAGGCAGAGAAAACAAGTGTTCCTTACATTAAGATTTAAAGGTGGTGAAATTGAAGGGAGGTTTGCCAATCAAATACAACGACCTATCCGGCCGCCAAACTGTTCCCCGTATATCAAACAATCTGTTCGGCTACATGGTCCAAACTTGACCAAATTCCGGCTCTCGTTGACTCCAACTGTATTTATGGTTTCACATGTACATTTGGTAGCAAGTACGTAGGAAGATTGGAAAGACAGTTGTCTACAATGATTGTTGGACATATGCCCAAGAGTCTACGTCTTAGAATTAAGAATCACTTAACAATGCCGTAGTTGGGTACCTGGCTAATACAGTACACACTATCAACTTAATAGAATCTTTTAAGGTGGTGAGAGGCAAAGTACTTCACGGCTGCTTCAGATTTGAAGAGCGGAATCCCTATGATGCATACAAAAAGAGACTGTTACTAACTTATTGCCACGCTGACAATTACTAACGCTTTCACCTTGTCGAAATTTCATCTCATTCTTATGATATAACTTGATAACTGCAGTCACCTGTTTCCTTACTATTTCTCAGTATCTTTGTGTCCTTGACCTATTTCATTGCGGTTGGATAGCTTTTGTGCGTGTCTAAATAGTTGTCTCCACCTATGCGTGAATTACCTTTTAATTCCGGAACCTTCTTCCCTGTACAAAATATAACGTCTCTGTTTTATTTGTATTTGATTATTCAAACTTCTTGCATAGTTTGTACCTCGTCTCCATTTTCGTTATGTTATTTTACTCTTATAAAATGAACTGGTCATTCAGTTAAAGTATAATTAAATTATTTCACATTCACTGGTTATGTAGTTTATCATTCAGACTGCATGTGGCTGATGAGAATAAAATGAAATAAAAAGAATTCATCTTATCCCGCAAAACTTGTTCTTATTTGACAAGGCTTCCAGCTATTCATTCTGAAACTGAAAATAAACAGATTCACCAAAAAACTACATTTCTTTGTTACCTGTCACTAATAAATCAGAAATATTTAGCCAGCCATGCTAGATGTTGAGTGCAAGGTAAAAATATCTTCTGAAATGAAGACAGTTTTAAGCTACTCATTTGTCATCAACTGCGACAAATATGCAAGTACTCTTCTTTCAGTCTTATTATTATTCCCTCTGGTTCCAAGTGAAACATAGGGCTTCATCAACACATCTCCACATTCTGCTATTCTCTGCCATCCTCTTCAGCTCTGTCTACGACTGCCCATAATCTTTCATCTCCTGCTCCCCACACGATCCCCTCCATGTCACTCTCGTACAGACGACCCACTCATTGCTTCTCATCGGGATTACTCTCGAGCGGTGGCCTGAATTATACGCGATTTCTTTCGACTGCCTCCTCAACGAATGCCCGATCCATCTCCATTTTCTCCTACATATTTGCTGAGCAATAAGCTCTTGGTTGGTTTACTGCAAGAGATTTTTGCTGCTGATTCTTTCTGGCCAGCCATTTGATCTTCAGTATGGAGCGAAGGCAGCTGTTGACAATCTGAAAACAGATAGTTATCTAAAAAGAGTTTCTCACACATGTGTTTTACTTCTTTTCCAAGTGACACTTTATCATTCACAAAGAATGAATTATTCTATAGCGTTTTTATCGCGCACATATAGCATGCTTATGCATACTGGTGTGGCCATTTGATAAAGATACTTTGAGTATTAAGAATCAGTAATTTGTTTCTGAGTAGCAGTTTAATGAATGAACACTTTTATGACCCATTGAATAAACTGCATTCACATCTTATAGTTAACAACTGCAAATCCTTATTCCGAAAACAACATCATATGCTTTTCCTTGTACTTCAAACTTGCAATTAATACGTAGGAGAAATACACAAAATATGTCCAAGATCGGTTGGAGAGTTGTCTTTTCAAAAATGGAATGAAATACACTAAGTGTGGGGAAAGATACTATGTGTGTATTGAAACCTGAAGCAATGAATAAACATTTTTGCTATTTTCCTGTAGTATTCCAAGTGATTAAAAATATTTAGTCTTCTACGCTGAGTGTTTCAACCATATACACAGAAGCAGCACCTAATAATCATTCTGAAAGTTTCATCCTCCTATACGTCATGTAACATTGTAAACAGTCTCATCTCTCCTGATATATTTTTTCGCAACATAACGTTCTCAAATAACTTTGACTTACATCATGATATTTATCTTTTGAATGATATTCACTACTAAGAATACACCCTTATTCATATTGTCAACAATGATTTCTGTTGATGGATACTGCAGAGATCTACCAGAGTCACATTGAAATAAACTCTTTGAAAATCGAATGCAGGCTTTTATTTCGCTTGCGTCAAGCGAAATAATTGATCAAACCAATAGATCACGTTGACATGATTTAAAGTGAGACTAATCAATGCAAATTTATTGATTCACAAAAATGAAGTGTGAATAAAATATGTAGGTTACTTGAGCTTGACTAATTACTATCAAATCACTTGGCATTTTCACATTAAATAAAAGTAATTTAACATGGAATAATAACAAAAGTCAACCACAGTTACAATGAAAGGATAAGGAGGTCATGACAACAAGTGCTGAGAATCAGAGAGGTAGTGACACATATTTAAGAAAAGACCTTATTTTCCACCACAAATGTATTTATAAACACTGGAACCAGAAAGTCATGTGTTGGAGAAAAGGGATAAAAGATAGATTCTACACGTAGCATTTAATAAATTTGGTAGGCAACGGCTTTTATGCTTCACTTCTAACTTTCGACTTCTGTTCAACGTAAAGGCTAATTTAGGAAATTTTGTGGGAAATAAGCTGACATTAATGTTGTTTTGAAAATATACCGAAATCAGTCAATACAGCACTGGAAACCACGAAACACTGAAAAAATAATTTGTTGTAGCTTGTAACACTTGACTAATTATGCATCCATACATACGTAACTCTTCAGCATCTATGAATAAATTTCTTTCTAATTACTATGTAAGATTTATTATAACGAGTTTTAAAATAAGTTACATATGTTGTATAGAAAACGGGATTGTGAAGTGATAATATCATAACAGATCTAGGATACATTATGCTATGGGGGTTTATTGACGACTTTTAGGTTATTCGTTTTGTCTTTATTATCACTTGTCAGCATACTCTTATTTTGAAGAAATTAATGCCGTTTAGTAGAATGAAACAAGTATTACTTCAACATTCATTGTCAACGTTCCCAGCAGGGCTTTCTACCATTTGTTTGTAAACGCCTTACATCTTTTCAGAGTGTGATGTGATGTCAGTCATACTGCAAGCTTGGTAGATAGAATCTGGTTAGCATTAAGAACAAAAAAACACGAACAATTAGACTGACATCTTCAGACTAGTCAGGTCTGAAAGTAAAGAGTAAAATATACTAATAAAAAAGTATACATTTCATCTATTATGGAAATAAGTATTTTAAATTTGAACAATTTAAAAGTTTATCAGCTGCTGCGAGGTAATCGAATCCATATGAAGTTTCAGGTAAACACATATGCTCTCGTTAAAATTCTATAGCTGATTTACAGAAAATCGGTGCATTTTAAAGTGAAATCAGATGACAGGACAGTTTCACATACCTTCCATTTGATGGTAATAATTTTAGATAAGCGGAACAAATCTGTCACTGAACACCAGACCAATGATTGCTTTATGACACTCATATTCATAACTCTGTTCTACTGTAAATAAAGTGAATGGCTTGAACTACTGTAAAAAGATTCAAATACCGCTTAACTTCCAGTGATTATCTGACTGAAGAAAATTCTGGATCATATCCATCAGGAAATAAATTAGTTAGTTACTTATTATTCGAGGTATATCGTGTAATCACTTAGTTATAGATATTTCTTGTTTTCTGGACTGAAGTTGGTAACGGAATCATTACTGAATATTTTGAAGGTTTTTTCAAAGTCAATTAGAAAGAAATTTGCTTTGTTTTCGTTAATTTGCATAATATTTTTGTCTCACAACTACTCATAACTGATAGTTTACCTTTTAACTGAATGTTTCCTTTCAATGTTTAATGCTCTGTGTAGTACTTGGCTTACGATACGCAACAAATAATGGGTGGAAGACAATTTGAA